TCTCTCTCTCTCTCTCTCTCTCTCTCTCTCTCTCTCTCTCTCTCTCTCATTGCCTGCTGCTTATGAATCAGGATATAAACTCTCAGTCCCCTGCCTGACTGCCTACAGTCATCCTTCCTGCCATGATGATCATGAACCAACCCTCTGGAACTGTGAGTAAACTCTCAATTAAATGCTTTCTTTATAAGAATTGGCTTGGTCATGGTGCCTTTTTGCAGCAACAGGATAGTAACCGAGACAACTTTCAAATCTGGGAATGCACAGTATCCTGGGAAAAAGTTCATTTAGTAACTTCAAGAACGTCTGTTGAACCCCAATGAGACCCCAGGAGTCTATTCAGTGTTAGAAGTTGGCAGAGTGAGAGCAATTGGGGTAGAGATGAAAGTCAGTGTTAATAAACAGAATAGAAGGCTTGACCCTTTTTAAATGTGCTGTTCAATTTGCTAATAAAACCACTTATTTATTTTAGCAAAGCCATAGGTCTTAGCCAGATTTTAGTTTTATAGGTTTAATATAATTCAGCATCACTTATTATAATCTAGCTCTTAAAGTTTTTGACCTTAAGAGTCTCAAGAAGAAATTAAGTAGGAAATATATTGGGCTTATAAAAGTGGAGATGAAATTTTCAAGGGAAATTTAGCAGTAAAGAGTAAGTTGGAAGCAGATTTCAACTTCGTTCTCAAAATAATTTTGGTCTGAGAGACTTCTCGGAGTAACACTCTTCTTTGCTTGGCTATGTAAAATGTCAAACTCTAGGCAGGGAGTCAAACAACCTAATCCCATTGAGGTTCTCTGTTAGTCAGGGAACTTGGTAAGGTTGTTCTGGAGAATGATGTTAAATTAGTGGGACTTTGAATTGAAGCTCCCGCAGATCCCACTAAATCTCCTCTAGTGGAGAAGGGCTGCCACCTCCTAATCGCTGAGGTTTAGAGTGCTATGTGATTCAAGTGCCGTTCGCTGCCATGGCTTGGGAAAACCTGCTCTTTCCATTACAGCTTCCTCTTGTTTGCTTAGTACTTGGCTCAGTGGCTCTAACCTGTCTTTTTGCCGGGCTTTCTTCTACTACCCCCAGCTGGGGCATCTTGCAGGCCCAGGGAATCCCAGCCGTCAATGGTTCATCTAGCTTCTTGCTTAAAAAACCCATTTATTGGTCTGGAGGAGCCAAGTATTTCCTCACCGTCGAGTGAAAGCAATACCGGTCTTTCCAACGTCTTTGCAGACATGAAGCCACATTAATTACTTTTTACGGCTTTTCATCTCTCTCAGACGTCCAGTTTTTCTCAGATGCTCAGTTTGAGAGGCATTAAAGCAGTTCCTGATGAGCTCATGGGCTGGCAGTGCTGGGTCAGCACTGGTTGGAGCTGGCCCTGTGGGATCATGGCAGACTGATGTGTATGCCCCAGCGCAACTGATTTGTTTTTCGTGAGAAGCAGTGTAGGTGCTTGGCAGGTGGCAAAATTTTACTCTCAGCACTGAGTGAATGTTGAAGCAGTGGTGTGAAAGACAGGATCGCGTGAGATGCCTTAAGATGGGGTATCTGCCCTACTATGGGGTCTCATTGTTAGTCCACCTCTCCATGTCACGTTTTCCTTTCCAGTATTCACACTCTCAGAGAACTGGTTCACTTATGCTTTCTTTGTGTATGTTGATGCCATAAGCAGGCGAAAGTTTCTATTTACATGTCAAGCTATTGTTCCCAGCTCCTCTTCTGCTTTTCTATGGTGATAACA